AGGAGATTCGTTAGAATTTGTCTACTACTAGATATTTTACTTTTGAGAAAGAGGGAGGATAAAGGGGTAGAAAGGGAAAGAAAGAGAGAGAGAGAGAGAGAGAGAGAGAGAGAGTGACGAAGAGAGAGACCAACCAGCACAATATCGAGCCACGACAAAGGGCACAGTTACGCGTAGAAATCGTCCCAAAGAGAAATGAAATCGATTTGCATTTCCAAAGAAGTCTGATTGTACCGGTGCCCAGGATACATCAGAATTTCCTTTGTCAATTTCGAAGTCATTACTCGGTCGTTGCACTTACTAGTATGAAATCATCAAGCAATTTCACGTCGCGGATTTAATGGTAATTTCAAAGTATTATATACCCGGTTATGTTACTCTTGACAATGTATTGTCTGAAATAAAAGGTGAAAAACAATCGCGGACATGGCAGACTGCACTTGCGTATTATCACGAGAAAGTTCGTGAAGAACGAACCAGTGACTCGATATCTTCTGGTCTCTTATTTCTGTAATTCTCACGGGAATAATGTCGCTCGAGGGTTCTTCTATTCTACGACACGAATAAATTCTCGTAAAATCCTATGTTACGAATATGTAATGCTTCCCTCGAAATTTCGCCTCAAAATCTATAACCTTCTGATGGAAATTTGTAAAAAGTATATTGAACGTATTCTCCTTTAAAGGATAATTTTGGTGAATCGGTTGGGACAATAATGAAAACTACAAAAAACCGCTACCTTTCAACATTGTTCCTTATATAACTCCTTTGCACGCTTAGTTTCAGAAAGAAAAAATATTTCTTTGCTCAGTCGAGCTTTGCAACCGGTGTACATTCCTTTGTCTCTATCTCACGCTTCCGGCGTAACGATAAAAAAAGGATTTCCGCAATGGTACTGGCAAATAGTTCCAACAGTCGTCACGAAACATATTTTTCCCCTAGTCTATTTTCGCGCTCGTTGTCACTTTGTCGTTTCTTTTAAACTACCAGCTGACCGAGCACACCGTAAGAAATGACACGTCCTGCTTGGCGAAATGCCGGACAATGTGGTAACTAAAAAGTCGGTTACGACACACGATGATGTTGAATCCGATGTACGGGAGGGGAATGATAATCCTGTCGTTTTGTCACATTACATCCGATTACGCGCATCCCACGCATCAACGTACATTCGTACATCAAGCGTCATTATTCATGTATTCCGTTACTCCATATTTCGGCCCGTATACGAACAATCGCAGTTACGCGATCGTAGAAACACGATTACTAAAGTTGCTACAGCTTACCTGATATCATGAAGAAAGCGAAAACTGCTCTTAGCCACAGGTGGCGAGTCATCTCGAATCCGTGAATAACGTCGTTCTTCCTCTCGATCACTGGTCTTTCGTTCACACAATAGCACACCACACGCGATACTTTTCGCGCTATTTACGAAAACACGGAGGGCATTGAAATCTTTGACAATGCATCGATGATAACTGACTTTCACCGGTCTCACGAAATAGTCATGGTGCACGATGAACGCCACTCTTTCCCGAACCAAACGTCACTACACGTTGTCCCCGTATGAAACGTCAAACTCACTATGCGCAGCGTGGATACCGACTGATCCGCGAAACCGTTAGACGATGCGGTGGTGGCGACAGCGGCGATTCGAATCGCGAACCGCGAGACGAAGGACTCGCTTAATTTTTCCTTCACGTGGCCGCGACACGCGATCTTCACTTCTTCGAACCGTAACGCGCGAACTATTAAGACGATCGATGCCGTATTGGTCGACGAACGTTATCGATCACCAAGTGTAGAGCAACGCCACAAGCACTAGAAGAGATTTTAAGCACTGTTGACAGGGTAATTGCACGTATATCTGCACTGGATTGCGACAGACGAGACTGAGCGTCGCCGCGCGAAGCTGTTCCGTCGCGAGCCGCGCGTGCGCAGACCGCCCTTCCATCCCCACCACTGTGCTTCGCCCGAACCATCCGAAAGAATGCGCCTCTCTCTCCCTCCTCGTTGCTTCTCACTCGCACCCATTGCCACTCGCCCTCGCAGTACGCACACGATCAACGGGTCGCGCCGTGATCTTATTCCACACCTCCTTTCGGGGTGAGACGAGAATGCGAAGGAACGAGAAGGAAGAAGAGAGTCCAAGCCCTCTGGATTCAATTTGCCGGCCGAAACTTTTTGTTGAATAAGGTTTGTTACGTATCATCATTCAGTCGCATTAAGGCCATTGTCGAGCCTCTTGTCTCGATCTTATATATTTTCCAATGTCTGCGCGTCTCCACTGGAACAGACACGCGATAAACCACAGACACGGTATATATCCATGCAGTGGATATCTCCCTGACGTGCATTACACTCTTGTTCGTCTCCCCATCGCACGATCTGTCCGCAGGCGCCAGGGTGTCGAACTGTGTAACAACATATGCTGATCTCTTGTTTGGAGGTACATCGACAACGCGATTCCGGAGTTTCCGTGAAAGTTCGAGAGGAGTTCGATCTGAACATCGACTGTGACACCTAGAAAATTTAAATGCTCGATGAATAACGGATTCACGACTATATTCTATCTGTTCGTCGATTATGTACGATTTACGGATCGTGAAATTTATAGGCAAATGAAATAACCACGCGGGATTTTTTTCACTACTTTAGGCGCCTCGTTTGAAATCTCTCCCAACTAATTCTTCAATTTTTCAACGATGTACAATTTGATCTTGTTTTTTTAATTAATTATACTTTGTAAAATCACATTGTGCAAGCAATCTGAATACTGCAAGTTCTGTTGCAAAAAGAAATATGGTAAATGTGCTTTTATTAATTACGAAAAGTTATACTTAGCTTTTCTACATTTTTTGCTACATTTAATTATTCGATAGAAACTTTGTTTTCAATTATTTCTTCATACGCAATTTCATTTTTCGCAAAGAAAGATCATTCGAAGAAAACACAATATATATCTATTTATTCAATATTTTTTACCATTTTCAATATTACGCAATACAAAATTACACATTTACGAATAAAAATTAAATATATAAAATTATACGAAATAATATTTTTGTAATAATTCATATTTTTATGAAACATATTTTCAATATTTTCTTCATCAACATTCAATTTAAAATCTGTAATCAATAATATCCCAATTAATTCTACAAATTACAATTATCTCGCATTCTCTTGCTCTAAAACGTATTTCGAAAACATCAAACGAGAGAATAATTATCAAAATGAGATACCCAACTGCTAGGAGATCTATCTCTCCCAATTATCACATCAAAGGATCTAATAAACTGTTATATTTCGCGCGTCTTGCGCGAACAAAGAATTTTCAGCAAACAATTTCCCGGTTAAATACGCACGCATTCATTAGGAATATAGCAAAAAAGGCGAGCAAGCGCAACTTTTACGAGGGCGCATCCGCGATCCCAATTTATCTTTTCCCGGCCCGTTCTTTCGCCTCACCCTTTGTCGCCTTTCTTTCTTTCCTTTTCCGCCTCTTCCTTTTTCGTGTCTCGTGAATCTTGACCCCGGAAGTGCCTGGAAGGGAAAGGGGAGGAAGAGGGTGCTGGAACCGGGCAAAAGGCAGCAAGACCCCAGCTTGAAATATTACGAAGACATCATTCGTTACCGCTGCGTCGTTTATCCGTATCGTCGTTCCGCCTCGAACGTATAAAACTGCCCTCCATCCTCATTCATGGTGGTTCAACTTGGATCCCTACGTCTACGAATCCGGGATTCAGAAGATCGCACTTTAATAGGACTTACCAGGAAGAAAGGAAGAAAACAGAATCTTTTCCTTGTTTTTTCTTTTGCGAAGGATCCTCCGGAATTAGTTTCAGGAAGACAGGAAGCAAACGTTTGTGTGAATTATCTTTATTACTTGTTTCTTCTTGTCACGTATCGTACTCATTTTTTCCAGTTCCAAAGATATATTGATTTATAGTAATAATAATATAAGATTATAGTATTACGATTTTATTTAATTTTAGTTAAAGATGAATTGATGATAAGAAACACGTTGTCTATTCCTTTGTGGAATTAATCGATTTAATTGATCGAAGCTTAGCAGCTTTTTTAATCTAACGATCGAATAATTTATTCAATATTCATCGTAATATAATAGATTGATCAGGAGAATTATCTTCATTAATATATGATACATCTTTCAAATTAATTTTATGATAAAACACGTACATGTAGTAATCTAGAAATAAAATTATTACGAATATCTTTTTATACGTAATTTCGAAATTAAAATACATTCATGAGAAATAAGGTAGCCGTACGTTATATCCACACGTACCTGTCTGCCGATGGTCCACCAACCTCGAAAACGTGTATCCTCGACGCTATGTACACCCTCAAAAACGTGTAACTTATATAAACGTCTACGAGCAAAAGCACGACCCATCGTGAAGAGTATCGAGGATGAAGCAAAAAGAGGAAAGATATGTAAAAAGCCGTGGAGAAGATCGCCCGACCAGAAACCACGACGCACCGTCACGCACTTTAGCAGCTGCCTAATTTTTCTCTTTCTACCCTTCATAACCCTTTTTCTTTTCGTATTATTTTCCATCTTCGTATTTTAGGCTACTATATAGATGCATCACTGTACCCCATTATGTATTCATCCATTTATATTCATTTAATATCCGTCATGTTTTAATGGAAATTATAATTTGTCGTCGTGTGTTACAAGAAGTAAGAAACGAGATTAATGTACCGAGCAATGAAAGGACGATATTCGGAAGAATTGAAATTTGGTTGTTATTTATCTTGAATATCAAAAACTGTTACTTGTGTTTGTATAAGTTCATGATAACGTAAGGAATGAAATTCGAAAGAGATTGAGAAGTTTATAAGGAAAACAACCCCCTTGTTAGTTTTTTTTTTCTTCAAAAAGAGAAAGAATGTAATACATTCAAATTTTCTCTATTAAAATATTCTTGATCTTTATTACGTATCCTTTAATGCTAAAGTAATTAACATATTTAGGAATATAACATTTGCATCGAAATAATAAGTAAATATATTATTATGCAATATCTAATAAATTTCAATATCGTTATAATGTTCAGATAATAATATGCAGAACATTATATGTAAAAAAATGTTCAAAATCTATTTGAACGAAAATGAAAAGTGCAAATGCCATTATCTCGAAGATACGATAATCTATAATTAAAAAAAAAGAAAATTAATCAAATTCTATTAACAGAAAAAAATAATTAAAGTACTCACCTGTATATATAATAATCAGTATTTATCTTTCATTCAATTCTGAAATATTAATAAATAACAACACATTCGTGAAATATACTTTTATCCAATAAACTCGTTCACCGCATTTTCCATTTTATTTCTAATCATTCTAACCATTGTGAGGGAGAAACAATAGGGAACCACGTTTGTTCATTGAATGTATTATCGAAAAACATCGATACACAAATATCCAACCGGTTTTTCATACACGTGTTTCTCCATAGAATTTCATCGTTCAATCGATAGGATGGAATCGTTAAAAAAAAAAAAAAAAAAAAAAA